TATCGATAGTAGAATCCATCGATACTATCGACAGTTCCATCGAAGTTTGCATGCAGTTAACAGAAGATTTAAATAATAACATCTTAAAATTTATTGAGATCAATTAGAACAAATCATATACATATATACATATGTACATACAATGCAATGCGAAGCAGAATATGCGTAGCTCCGTTATTCGGTTTCCGCTTTGCTATCGCTTACTCAGCGTTGCCTAGCGATGGTAAACTGTAAACTTTTCGCATTTTGCCTTTGCAATTAAAAGGCGTAGATGTCATTGCAAGACGAATACACATACATATACATATATGTATGTATGTACATACATTCACACATTAATGTCTCATATTTTGCTTTGGTTGGCACACAACTGCTGTCTGTATATGAAGTGTGTGGGTGTGTGTATACTTAGTTGATACTGTTTGATATGTATGTATGTATATTGTGTTTGTTAGTTCTGGGTGCATTTGCAATTTATTTCTATATTTTGAAAATCGTTGAATGCAAAGTTGTAGATTTAGTTACGTAGATTACATTACCCAAATTTGAAATCGATGGGACGAAATTTATAGCACAAACTTTTCATTTTCATTTATTATGCTCACCTACACCATAACAGACAACTTGTGCCGAAATTTCAGCTTCAGAGTTCTTACCGTTTGGGGTGTGGGGTGTTGATTGTGTTCCAATTTTTCCACGGGAAAACCACTATATTTCATGCCCTAGGAAAAATGGTGAAACACCAAGTATGCATTTTTATACTCTGTACATGAAATGTACAAGAGTATATTAGGTTTGCGCGAGCTGAAAAATGTAACAGGCAGAAGGAGGCGTGGTAGACCCCACAAAGTATATATATTCTTGATCAGCATGACAAGACGAGTCGATTTAGCCCTGTCTGTCTGTCTGTCTTTCCGTCTGTCCGTCCGTCCGTCCGTATGATCACCTAGATCTCAGAGACCATAAGAGCTAGAGACACCAAATTTTGCACCAAGATGTCTTATGTGTGTACGCTATACGAGTTTGTTTTATTTTTTGATTTCCCCCTCCCCCCCCACTTCCCCCCTATGGGGGTTTTCCCGATTTTCCATTCGTATAATCGCCTATATCTCGGAGACTATATGACCTAGGAACAGCAAATTTTAGTCCAAGATGCCTTGTGTGAATACGCAGAAATTGTAGATTTTGGAATTTCCCTCCCTCCCCCCTCTCCTAGCAAATGCGATTTTCTCTAACTCCCGTAATTCTTGGAATTTCGAACTAAAATTTAATACCCCCAGTTGGTTATTATGTGTCCGTGTGTCAAGTTTCACTATGATAGACCGATTAAACAAGAAATTATAGCCATAAATATATTTGCTGCTGCAGCGCTGCTCAAGCGCTGCCCGCGGCTGTTGTTGATGTTGCTGTTTAGTTGACTGCGAAAATGCTTACACAGACACAAATAGACGCACATAAACATACATACACTCACATAGACGCAATTGCTTTGTATATGTGCAATTATATACCCTTTACGTGAGTTCGAATACCGAGAAAGGTAAAATCGATCAAATTTTTTTAAATTTTCTTATTTTTTATTTTCTATAATTATTGTAAACATATGTACAGAGTATTTCAAAGTCGTGACACCCGACTTTAGCTTTTTTACTTGTTATACTCTGTACATGAAATATTTTATTTTATTTTATTTAGTACATCAACAATAATTCTGTCGATTGTTATATTATGATCTAACGTAATATAACAATTTAAACTCAACTTAAAAGATAAGAAAGCCTAACGCAAAGCTGTACAATAACGTCTATTAATGCCTCCGACACGTTGGGGGAATTTTATTTGCCAGTTGGCCAGCTATGCCCCGATTCACAGACATGTGTGTATACAAAAAGTAAGTAGAGGAGGAAAATTAATTCTATTTAAGAACAAATTAGAAAAAGTAAGAAGTAGAAAGAGAAAGAGGAAATGAGAAAAAAAAGAAGGAAAGAGAGAGAGAGAGAAACAGGGAAAGAGAAAGGTGGAAAGAGAGAGACGAAAGAAAAAAGGGGAAATCTCCAACCCGGTGGGGGAAAATTTAAATGCCAGTCCGGCAAGCTATGCCCCAACGCACAGCAGTAAGTGGTCAGAGATTTCCCCGAAGACAACTATAAAGAATAATATTGATAGAACAGAGAGAGAGAGAGAGAGAGAGAGAGAGAGAAAGAGAGTCCTGTCGAAAGTAAATGTGAAAGATCATTATAATGGCTGCACATGACCCGAAAACGAAAATGTACAAGAGTATATTAGGTTTGCGGGAGCTGAAAATTTAACAGGCAGAAGGAGGCGTGACAGACCCCACACGCTGTGCAAGTTTGTTTTATTTTTTTTATTTCCCCCCCACTTCCCCTCTATGGGGGTTTTCCCGAATTTTAATTTGTATAATCGCCTCTATCTCGGAGACTATAAGACCTAAGGACACCAAAGATGCAATCCAACATGCCTTATGTGAATACGCAGAAAATGTATATTTTGGACTTTCCCTACCTCCCCCTCTCCCCCTCAAATCGTAACTTCCGTAATTCTTGGAATTTCGAACTAAAATTTTGCAAATGCTCCCAGTTAGTTATTATGTGTCCGTATGCCAAGTTTCACTATGATAGACCGATTTAACAAGAAGTTTTAGCCATTGTTGATGTTGCTGTTTAGTTGACTGCGAAAATGCTTACACAGACACAAATAGACGCACATAAACATACATACACTCACATAGACGCAATTGCTTTGTATATGTGCAATTATATACCCTTTACGTGAGTTCGAATACCGAGAAAGGTAAAATCGATCAAATTTTTTTAAATTTTCTTATTTTTTATTTTCTATAATTATTGTAAACATATGTACAGAGTATTTCAAAGTCGGGACACCCGACTTTAGCTTTTTTACTTGTTATACTCTGTACATGAAATATTTTATTTTATTTTATTTAGTACATCAACAATAATTCTGTCGATTGTTATATTATGATCTAACGTAATATAACAATTTAAACTCAACTTAAAAGATAAGAAAGCCTAACGCAAAGCTGTACAATAACGTCTATTAATGCCTCCGACACGTTGGGGGAATTTTATTTGCCAGTTGGCCAGCTATGCCCCGATTCACAGACATGTGTGTATACAAAAAGTAAGTAGAGGAGGAAAATTAATTCTATTTAAGAACAAATTAGAAAAAGTAAGAAGTAGAAAGAGAAAGAGGAAATGAGAAAAAAAAGAAGGAAAGAGAGAGAGAGAGAAACAGGGAAAGAGAAAGGTGGAAAGAGAGAGACGAAAGAAAAAAGGGGAAATCTCCAACCCGGTGGGGGAAAATTTAAATGCCAGTCCGGCAAGCTATGCCCCAACGCACAGCAATAAGTGGTCAGAGATTTCCCCGAAGACAACTATAAAGAATAATATTGATAGAACAGAGAGAGAGAGAGAGAGAGAAAGAGAGTCCTGTCGAAAGTAAATGTGAAAGATCATTATAATGGCTGCACATGACCCGAAAACGAAAATGTACAAGAGTATATTAGGTTTGCGGGAGCTGAAAATTTAACAGGCAGAAGGAGGCGTGACAGACCCCACACGCTGTGCAAGTTTGTTTTATTTTTTTTATTTCCCCCCACTTCCCCTCTATGGGGGTTTTCCCGAATTTTAATTTGTATAATCGCCTCTATCTCGGAGACTATAAGACCTAAGGACACCAAAGATGCAATCCAACATGCCTTATGTGAATACGCAGAAAATGTATATTTTGGACTTTCCCTACCTCCCCCTCTCCCCCTCAAATCGTAACTCCCGTAATTCTTGGAATTTCGAACTCAAATTTTGCAAATGCTCCCAGTTAGTGCTTATGTGTCTAAATGCCAGTTTCATCATGATAGACCGATTTAGCAGGAAGTTATAGCCATAAACATATTTGCTGCCCGCCGCTGTTGTTCATGCTGATGCTTTGGTTGACTGCAAACATGCTTACACAGATACGAATAGACGCGCATAAGCATACATACACTCACATAGACGCAATTGCTGTGTAAATGTGCAATTACACACCCTTTACGTGAGTTCGAATACCGAGAGAGGTAAAATCGATCAAATTTTTTTTTAAATTTTCTTAATTTTTTTAATTTCTATAATTATCCTAAACATATGTATAGAGTATTTCAAAGTCGGGACACTCGACTTTAGCTTTTTTACTTGTTTTTTTTTTTTAATTCTTTTATAGATTACCCGATTGAAGCCAATCAAATTGCAGACCTTTTATACAATCTTTGGAGCCCGTTTTCCCCCCTTTGGCGTTCGAATTTTCCAAAACTGCTTCTTAGTGCTCACTTTCAGAAGCTTTCAAAGGAAACTTGTGTCCAAATTTGAGCTCCCTAGCTCTTACCGTTTGGTCGCCAATCAGTTAGTCTGGACAAACTGTTTTATATATACACATATACATAAATATGAATATAATATTTAAAATAAAATATAAAAATATACACAAAAATTAATTTATTTTTGTTTAAATATAGTTGGTTCCGCCCAATTTAAGCATTCCATTCATGTTTTTTATTTATAAAACGTATAATGAAACATTTTGTTGGGGCACCTATTTATTTCAGAATATTTTTATTAACTCAGCTGCTTTTTTCTTTTTGCAATTTTAATATTTAAAAGTAGATACATTTATTTTAAAAAACTCTACAGCTTTACTGTTTATGACAAAAAGCTAAATTTACTGACAAAATCACAAATGTCTTTCAGATTTTTAGCTTTTAAAAAACCACTAGCTAAAAGAGCAGGGCTGCATACCACAAAGAGCGGTTGAGTACGGGAGAACGCAGTAGGCCACAAACTTGATTCCTACAAAACAAGTTTTTTGTTTGTGAGAAGCACAGCTTTTATTGTGACGGACGCACCTTCAGTTATTGATACGACGTGGTGTCAAACACAGCTCCCATGTTTCTGCATCGTTTTTATAAAACGTGAAAGTAGCTTTGCATACTTAATCAATTTGGAAATTAATGTAACTGCTTAAGCCCTTGTAATGTGTATATTAAAAGAAAGCAAAACTTTTTATTGTACAAAAATATGAATGCAGTGGTATCCAGATAGTGAACTAAGAAATGTAAGTACATACTCCGTAACGTTACATAGTATGTGTGTGTGTAAGTGAATGTGTATTTGTGTGCATTTATGATTTAAATGTGAGCAATTTGGAAGTTTGTGTAATCAATTTAGCACTTGTAATATGTAATATACTATATATTAAAAGAAAAAAAATTTGCGTTGACAAAATTATATTATGAAAAATATGATGAAAGTGGTGTTAGGCAGTATATTAAGAAATTTAAGTGCTTCGCAACATTACGTAGTATGCGTGTGTGTGCGTGAGTGTTTGTGTGTGCATTTATGATTTAAATGGGGATGCAATAACATTTTTAATCGATGAATAATATATATATAGAATATACCATTTATGTATGTATTCCTCGCTCCTTGTCCAATTGGCAATTATATATCAGCTCTCAAACAACGGGAAATACTTTATAACGTGCGTGAGCCCTGCCGGATTCGCTTATTTGCTGCAGGTAAAGGTTTCTAAAGCAGTTACTATATTCCATAGTAAAGTTCTTATGCGCATTTCATGTCTTTCTGTTCTTGGCCAAGGTAACAGCTAACGACGATCTGCATAAAGTGAGCGCCGCTTCGTCTTTGCCGCAATCCAGTTCTGCCCTTATGCTTACTGTTAAACTGTTCCAAAAGGACCACGCTGACTCTCGTAAAGATTTTGTTTAGAAACATCTTCATAGTATTAATTTCAGCTTTCTTGAAATGTACGATTTTATGAGTTCGTATTATATTACTGATCAGCATGGATATATGGTGAAGAGGTTAGGTTTATTATACCCTGCACCGAAAGGGTGAAAGTAAATATATTCTTGATCAGGATGACAAGACGTGTCGAGGTTATGTTTATTATACATATATAATCTTTTACGTTCATATACTTAAAGTAAGTACTTTAAGTGAGATAGGACCGACTGTATCGATAAAAACTGTGAATATAATTTCAACACATTTTTCTTTTAGATTCGCAATTGAGGGTAACGAAATGGATATGGATAATTACTTTCCACGCAAATACATATGCTGCCGACGTTCAACTCCTAAGTTTCTACTAGTTTCATCGGAAAAAGGGATTTTTATAATTCCATTTACTGTGATTGCTATATTCACATTATTACCTGCTTTTCTTGGTAAATTATTATATTTTGTATTAAGTTTTTCTAAATTTTGATTACGTCCGTGATTACTTTGAAAGATTCTGTCGATATGTGTAAAATAATTATACGTGCCTATGCGTGTTTGTTTGTGCCTGTTTATGTCCGGCGTGCCTAAGCAAAGCAGCAGACCAGTGCTTGGACAAAGATGACATATGGCTATAACTTCCTATTAAATAGGCATTATGGAACTTGACATACGGACTCATAATCACAAATTTGAGGGATTTTCCGAATTTAAATGAAAAGACCTAGAGACACAAAATGCAAGATGCCTTATGTGAATACGCAGAAAATGTGCATTTTGGAATTTTCCCTTCCCCTTCACCCCCGCAAATCGTAACTCCCGTAATTCTTGAAAATTCGAAATTGGAAATACCCCCAGTTAGTAATTATGTATCCGTATGTCGAGTTTCACTGTGATAGCCTGATTTAACAAGAATTTATAGCCTTAAATATAATTGCTGCCCGCAGCTGTTGTTGATGTTGCTGCTTTGGTTGACTGCAAACATGCTTACACAGATACGAATAGACGCGCATAAACATACATACACTTACATAGACGCAATTGCTATGTAAATGTGCAATTACACACCCTTTACGTGAGTTCGAATACCGAGAGAGGTAAAATCGATCAAATTTTTTTTTTAATTTTCTTAATTTTTTTATTTTTTATAATTATTGTAAACATATGTACAGAGTATTTCAAAGTCGGGACACCCGACTTTAGCTTTTTTACTTGTTAATTATACGTTAATGTAGTATAATCAAATTAATTTTACCGTTTTTTTTTTCATTCCGCAGCTGAAGCCCAAGAACAGAATGCACCTCCTATACTGTATGTTCGAGAGCGCAATTGGCGGATTTCAGAGACTGAACAAGTCGGACAAATTATTGATCGGGTTCGCGCTGAGGATCCGGACGGCGATGAATTAGTTTTTGGGATTGAGCCACGTTTTGTGGCATTACCAGATGCGCACGATAAATTAAAAGACGCACTTCCGTTCCGTATTGATTCAAAGAGGGGTGTCGTTTATCTCAATGAAAGCCTGATTGGCCGTGTAAGTTTCTTTCAAAATGGTTTTGAATTTTATTTTTACTATTAACACATATTACTTAACTGAAATTGATCGGTATGTCCCTGTTAATACTGAACTACAAATTTTATTCCCTCGGCTTTATATCCATAAGGATAAATAGGTTAAAAAAAAAACGTAAGTTTTGTACAGGAATTGTTTATAAGGAAAAGACTACTGGAATAAAATTGCAACCGAAGTTTGGGATTCTGATTCAATACGAACAATATGTTTTCTTGCGAACCCCAAACGCATTTTGATAACGATTGAACCCTCATTCGTAAATACTGCCCACAATTCCAATGACACATAACAAGAGAAAACTCTACAGTCGTGCCAGCCCGACAATAAAATACCCTGTAAAAGGAAGAAGTGAAAATTTGATGCTACAGTTTGTGGGCGTAATATTGGAGTGAAATTGTTTCGCTAATAACTTTTATTATAATTACGTATCTGAATGAATTAAAAATAAAAAAAAGAGTAGTAGTAGTAGTGCATTTCTTTTTAAATTTTAAATTTCTTCTGAAATGCACTTTGCGGTATAGTATATCCCAGTCAACTTAGGCAAAAAAAGTCTTTTATTTTATTTATGGCTATAACTTCTTTCTAATCAAACTTGCATAATGAAACTTGGCATACGGACATATAATCACTATCTGGGTGTAACTACCAAATTTTAGTTCAAAATTCGAAGAATTACAGGAGTTATTGAAAATTGCGAATAGCGGGGGCGTTAAAAAAAAACTGGAACTCGTTCTTTCTCGGACTAAGGAGAATCTGGATACCAAGTTTTGTTATTCTAGTTCTTATACTTTCTGAGATGCTTGCGCCCATACGGATAGACGGACGGATATGGCTATATCGACTCGGCTTGTCATCCTAATTAAGAATATATATACTTTGTAAGGTCTGCCACGCCTTCTTTCGAATTTGTTAGTCATATTCAGTTAGTGATCATCATGATAGGTCTTATGAACAAAGTTATAGCCATAAATATACATATTCTTTGCCCAAGCTGTGGCCGCAGCTGTATTTGTTGCTGCTTTGACATAGTTATGTAATGCACACATACATATGTACAAGTACACAAACACGCATAGACACGATTCTGATGTAAATGTATGTATGCATGAATTGAATATTTTATATTTAACTAGCAGGTATCACCCGTCTTAACCCGGCTCAATATAATGTTTCCAATTGTATTTATTTTGTGTGTGCATACCTACCCATATGTTTTCACCTTATAAGTTACCAGTAGGAAGGCGTTTAAGGTATTTAAATGAACATTTTCTGTTCTTGACAAAAAATTGTTCAGTAGTCCGTTACATTTTTGGTCTTGCCAAACTATTTCGTTAAACGAACATGACCACTATAACTAATACTTTTTAAAGCTCGTTTTCCCCCCTTTGGAGTTAGAATTTTCCAAAAGCCTTTCTTAGTGTGCTCCTACACTATGATGGATACTATGAAAGGATACTTGAGTCCAAATTTCATCTTTTACCGTTTGGGCTGTGCGTTGATTACCAATTAGTCAGGACAAACTGTTTTATATATAGAGATACCGCAACGTTTTAAGATAGACTATGTGCAAAAAAGGGGAATAATTATAAGGGTATATCCTAATTTTAAATTCACATTTGAGTCTTTTCGTGCCATATTGAGTCAATACGGTCACGCACAAACTCGGAATATGAAACACGGCACTCGTGTCAATGCCGTGCAGCGATGAGCCACGATCAAAAAGCACTGACAATTCTTATCTCAATTTGCTAGAGTAAAACTTTCGATAGTTGAAGCCACCGATACCATCAAAATATCGAAGTTTGAATGCAATAAGCAGAATATTTAAATAACAAAATCTAATTATTTATTGACATCAATAAGAACAAATCATATACATACATACATCTGCCCGCAATGCGAAGCAGAATATGCGTAGCTCCGTTATTCGGTTTCTGCTTTACTATCGCTTACGCAGTCGTTGCCTAGCGACGGTAACTGTAAACTTTTGGCGTTTTGGCTTTGCAATTAACATTAAATGGTCAAAACGAAAGAAGAAGAGCGAGCCAATGACTTGCAGTTGTTGTTGTTTTTAGAGCATTATTTTTTTTTACAATCAAACAACTGTGTTCGATTGCCCAATGTATACATTAATACGAATGTACATACATGCTATATTCATACACAGGCATACATACATACATACATATGTATGTTTCTCTTTACTTTTTCAACCGTACGTAGAGAACCGCACACATAGACACGAACTGTTGCTTGTTGTGTGTGTGAGTGTGTGTATATGATGTCCCCAACTATTTGATATTTGTTGTTGCTGCATAAAGTTATTAATGAAAACCCTTATGCCAAATGCAGTAAACAAAGAAAAAATTACTTTTAAAAATGTTATATAATTTTCAATTAATAAACATTTCTTGCTCTGTCAGTGCAAGACCAATGTACATACATACATATGTAGATACATATGTACATACATAGATGTATATGTGCACATTGGACATTCACACATTAGTGTCTCACATTTTGCGTTGGCTATTTCAATCGTTTGCACGCAACTACACGAACAGCTGCTTGTATGTGTGTGTGTATGGATATTTAGTTGTCCCCAACTGTTTGATATTTTGTATTGTTTGTTCTGCCTGCATTTGTAAAATGCATATTTTGAAAATCCTTGAACTCAAAGTTGTAGGTTTAGTTACGTAGATTACAGTCCCCAAATTTGAAATCGATCGGAAAAAATTTATAACACAAACTTTTCATTTGAAAAGGTGAATAAATATTAAAGCCCCAATAATTCAAGCTCCAACACAAATTTCGAAAATCTATGCAGTTTTGTTTGTATTCTTTAATTGATTTTAGAAACTAAGCTTTAAGTCGATCGGTTGAAAAATGCGGATTTTTCAAACAAACTTTGGAGCTACTTTTCACCCTTTGGAGCTCGAATTTTCCAAAATCCCTTCCTAAAAAACATTTACACTATGATAGGATACTTGACCCCAAATTTCAGCTTTCTAGCTCTTACCGTGGGGCTGTGGGCTGTTGACGCGGTTTCCTTTTGTGCCCCAAGAAAATCCCAATAATTCAAGCTCCAACAAAAAATTAAAAAAAACCGAGTATGCAGTTTTCTTTGTATTCTTTTATTGATTTCAGAAACCAAGATTTATGTCGATCGGCTAAAAAATGCGGATTTTTCAAACAAACTTTGGAGCTCGTTTTCCCCCCTTTGGACCTCGAATTTTCCAAAATCCCTTCTTAGTGGGCACCTACACTATGAAAGGATACTTAAGTCCAAATTTACCGTTTGGGCTGTGCGTCGATCACCAATCAGTCAGTCAGTCAGGACAAACTGTTTTATATATATAGATTCCACCTGCAAAAGCCACAATTTAAAGTAAATTGAAAATAAACAAAATACCATGCAATGCTCTTCTGCATTTATCTGAAGGTTGGATTTTATTGCAGGTTGTTTTTTGTAGTTGCACAATAACTCTTAGAATCGTAAATGGAAAAGATAAAATGATCTTAAAATTATGCTAAGTCAAAGGTAGAAACTATGAGACGTGAAACCCTTAAGAGTGAGTAGGTAGAAACGACAAAACAATCGATCAACAATAGAACCATACCATCAAAGCGAAATATTTGCACTACAACAAGAAGTTCAAATATTAAAGCAACAACAACAAATTTGGTTACTCGAAAGAAAACTAGTTAGGGGGAAGATGGTTGGCGTTAAAATGTTTAACATTTTTGTTAAACATCGATTTGTCTTTGGAGAGTCGGTTAATCGTATAAAGTCGACTACTTGAAAGTGTCGCTGATAATGTCTGATTTCATAGAAAACTACATTAAAAATTAATTTTTTTAAGCTGTATGAATAATTGATATAATTTTTGAGAAAATCGCAAAAAAATCGCAAAAAAAATTTAATAGGTGCGATGCAGTCAATATCGATTATTTTGCAGCTGTAGGGCCCGGGCGAATAAATGTTCACAGCCGTGTACCAAAAAGCTTAAAGCTAACAGCTGGCGTTTCATCTTGGCGTTCGGTCGCCTGCACTTTTATCACTTTCGTGTCATTTTTTACATATTTAGCTTCGTTTCCTTTCGTTACCGTATTCTACGATTAGGATCGTGCAGCCATGTGTTGTGAAATATGACCAAAAGGAGAACACCAAGTTTGTTTACATTTCAGATTGTACTATTAGGTTCATGCACGCATCTTCATACCACAGCTGATTTTCGTTAACATTCACAATTTCAATTTCGCCAGCTAGTCTACTTGCTGTTCATTTATGTGCGCCTGTTACCGTGCTATTGGTGTACTTGAAAAACGTAGTTCTACTTGGCATCAAAATATTTCCTCAAAAATCATAACCTACAAGGTAGTCATAAATACGCAGAAGGCAAATCAATTGCTAAAATTCCGTGTATTCCAACAAAAACATCTACAACAAGAGAGAACGCTACAGTCGAGCAAGCCCGACAGTGTAATACCCTGTACCCAGGTAAACTTCCGTCACTGAGTTATATGCGCCCATAGCAGCAGTAAAAAGAGGAAGAAGAAGAGCGAACTTGTTGCTGCAGTTTGGTGAGGTTGTACTGGCGAGAATTTGTTTCGCTAATAACTTTTCTTAGAATTGACCGAATTGAATAAAATAAAAATGAACAATAGTAGACAATTATATATAAATTATGTGTGCAAAGTTTGGTTTAGGTAGCATTTAAAATGTGGACGCTATTGACGAAATTCTGTAGCGGGGGAAGGGGGGAAAAATTCCAAAAAATAAAATAAACTCGTCCTTTCTCGGACCTAGGAGAATCTGGATGCCAACTTTATTCTAGCTTTTATAGTTTCTGAGATCCTCGCGTTCATCCAGACGGACGGACAGACGGACGGACGGACATGTCTAGATCGATTTCTCTCGTCATGCTGATTCAGAATATATATACTTTATGGGGTCGGAG